TTTTAAATACTCTAGGAACAACAAGTAGGCCTGCAGAGCGAGAGCGAAGTGCTCTAATAGGGTGATATGGTACTACAAGGTCATTAAGATAAGATGGGATAAGATAAGATTTTTCTCACCAGTCTATCCTGATGCAATGATGCATCCTTTTCAGCAGGAGGAGCTTTAGGAGCCTTTAAACTATGGCGAGTAAAGGCTTCAGAAAACAGGAGCTCTTCATTCAAACAGCGCCCGTATGATGGGCTGTGTCTAAACTTTGATATCTCTAAGAAGCAGTCGAGACAGTTTATTTAAACCAAACATCAGTCGTTCATATCTGAACCACAGCTCTTAAACCTCGAAGACCAAATGATAAAGAAAGACACATTTCAGTGTTTATAATGTAACTGCTGCCTTTGACAGTCTGTCAGTAACAGATTACAGGCAATGAAAACTGATATTAAGATGTTTAAACTCTCAGTTCACACAAGACTGAGATGATTACAGGAGTTAATGACAATGAGACCTTACCCCTGAAAACTGAACTGGTGGTCTCCTGATATTCCTGATGTTTGTTTGAAGTATTCTGGGTACTTTGTGTCAGTGTGTGTGAGACTCCAGAAATCCTGAAAGATGCGAGTGCAGACGTTGTTGAGTCTTTGGTTCCAGCTCCTGTGAACCTCCAGTTTAGTTCTTCTGATATGTTTGAGTTTCGTGGTTTTCCTTCATTATGATTCATGCTTTGCCTCCGTGTCATGCCCATGTGTCTCCGGTCAGCATCTCTGTGTTTCCTGTTTTATTTTGACAGTCTTTGTTGGGCTTCCCTCTGTCTCCTCCTTAATCTGTCCCAGCTGTGTCCCCATGTGGTTGCACTCCCCGATCACCTCCTGTCTGTGTATACTGTGCGAGTTTCCCCCTGACCTTTGCTGCGCTCCTCCCGAGATTTCTTATGTCAACATTTCCAAGGTTTTCCTAGTGATCCGGGTTTTGTGATTCTGTGTCCTGTGGTCGGCGTTTGCTTCCTCACACGAAACACATGATCTGTCTCCGGGTATCCTGACAGTTGGAGTACAGGTGGTGCAAACACTGTCTGCTGGGCATCTCCCCAGAGAGCCCTGCTTCATCAATATGTATTGATTTTTGGACTTTTAGGGGCTGGAAGAATCAATCATTGGAGACAAAAGGAAATGTGGTCACATGTTCTGTTGGACAAACTGTGAGAGGAAAGGCAGAGGGTTTGAAAATGTATGGAGACTGTGATTGGACAACAGTGCAGATCAATCGTTGGTCTGTATCTGAATGTGTTTGCTCAGGGCGACTGTCTTTTTGGTATCGTGCACTGCCAGCCGTGGTTCATTACACCAAACAAAGGAAATGTTTCTCTACCTTGCAGAACACTTACACCAACGCAGACAAGCTGCTGGAGGCGGCCGAGCAGCTCGCGCAGACCGGAGAGTGTGACCCGGAGGAAATCTACAAGGCAGCTCGACACCTGGAAGTGCGAATCCAGGACTTTGTCCGGCGGGTGGAACACAGGAAGCTGCTGCTTGACATGTCTGTCTCCTTCCACACACACACGAAGGAGGTGGGAAAAGTTTTTATTCCATGTAGCCACAGAGACAGGTGATGTGTGTTATTCACTCTCTTTGCATTGACGATCATTTCTGTCTGCGTGTCTGCATCCAGCTGTGGTCGTGGATGGAGGAGCTGCAGAAGCAGCTGCTGGACGATGTGTGCTGCGATTCTGTGGACTCGGTGCAGACTCTGATCCAGCAGTTCCAGCAGCAGCAAACAGCCACACTGGAGGCAACGCTCAATGTGATTAAAGAGGGGGAGGAGCTAATACAGCAGCTGAGGTAACAGTCACGCTCTTCTTATTATGGCAGTATTAGGGCGAAGCTGACACCAACTAACAACTGAAGCAGTGAAATGAGGATTTCTGAAGTTAATAGAGCATCTCAGATTGTAGCAGCAATACTTCAAATGTCATGAAAACACACAGACACATAAATACTACACAAAACGAAATAACAGAAACCCAGTGATGGCAGCAGAAACAGGAGGGGTGGAGCAGCGAGTTCAGGGGTGGTGTCAGGACCAGAGATGGGCAGTAATGCGTTACGCGTTACTGTAATCCGATTACTTTTTTCAAGTAACGAGTAAAGTAAGGGATTACTATTGCAAAAAC